ATACTAATTAGTAGAATTGTACGAGCCTAATGAAAATTCTACCTCATATATAAATTATCAGAAAAACATAATCGTTGCAACATTCTTTAAAAGTAATTCGATTCTACCTTAGACAATTAGGTATTTGTTTAATTGAGATGAATCAACCAGGATAAGGAAGAATTATGTTGGAATAAGCGGAAAAAATTCATAATCACTCATATAGAGACCTCTTAGATTATTCAGATCAAGAATTAAGGAAAACTCCATAAAATACTCTCATCTTAATTGCAAAAAGTTAATGAAAATTTATCACTCATATAGGCTATGCTTTAAACGAAGAAGAGAAATCTCATTTGGCTATTGAGTAATGCGAAAAAGTTTTGAGAGAGTAACCTTAACATCTTCATGCTTTGTATAGAAAAAGTAATCTTTTGTCATACAATCAGGCTTTTCTTTAAAAGATCTGAAACAATATTCATAAGCAATCTCATACATTAACGTAGCTCTAAAATATAATCCATAGTATAGTATTGGTTATTTCTTAAAAGGTATCTTAGATGATGAATTTAGGGTATTCCTTAGGAGATGAGGGGAAATATAAAGCTGGAATTGATTGCTATGATAAAACAATTTAATTAGATCCGAATTTTGCAATGGCTTATAATAATAAAGGTTTGAAATACCTTAATTTTGTTAGGTTATGCCTTATTTAAACTTAATAATTATAATGATGCGATTGCATGCTATGACAAAGCAATACAACTAGAGCCAAATATGATAAGGGCCTATAATAATAAAGGTTTGGAATGTTTTGATTTTATTAGGTTTTGCTTTAATGAGTCTTAATAAATATAGCGAAGCTATTGTTTGGATTGATAAAGCAATCCAACTAAATCCAAATTCTGCAACAACGTATTTTATTAAAGGTTTGAGATGTCCTAATTTTAATAGGTAATGCCTTACATAGCCTTAATAAATCAGAGGATGCAATTTTTTGCTATGACAAAGGAATTCAACTAAATCCAAATGATGCAACAGCTTATTTTAACAAAGGTTTTAAATATCTTGATTGTATTAGGTAATGTCTTATATAGTCTAAACAAATATGAGGATGCAATTGCTTGCTATGATAAAGGAATTGAACTAGATCCAAGTCATGCAATAGCTTATTTTAATAAAGGTTTGAAAATTCTTAAATGTAATAGGTGAAATATTAACTTTTATTAAGAATTACTCATCAGCTATAGAGAATTATGAGCGAGCAATTTAGTATTGCCAATAAGATTAGGATGATTTTAAATGTTTAATTTGGGAATTAAAAAATAAATAATGATAATTTATAGTTATCAATTAATATATAATTGGGTTAAAGGTTAATTTTATTAATATAACTTTTCATTTGATTTAAACAAAAGGGATATTTACACATCTTATTGATGGTAGAATATAGAAGCTCAATTACCTAGCAACATCTTCATGTTAAAATTTTAGAATTAATTCATTTTCACATAACTTCCTTTTACTTTCTCTTAAGTGTACTTCTAAATTCCTTTAAATAGCTAAATATTTCAAGCTATCTCATCGAGGTCTAATAAATTTTTCCCCTATCGTCTGCTTTTGTAATTGTATACACATTTTCAGCTCGATATTATCTTAGCACATTTCAGCCTCATAAAAGGAATTCATAAAGGATGAAATTAATCTACCCATTTTGAAAACTTAATTTTTTATTAAGAAAAATTGGTTTTCTTCTATTAAATAACATTCTAGTATATAATTTCATACAGTCTTAAAAATAAAGACTCCATCGGAATAGAAATTTGAATAAAAAGATTATATCCTTCTTTTCAACCTCAATTTTATGATAATTAAATACAAATCCAAAACTGATATTACTCTGTAAATGATCTTTCATTCTTGCGATCAGGTACTCTTTTTTATAGAGATTTAATAAACAGATAGCCAAACCATTTTAATTCTACTTTCCTCATTTATTATCATATAATGTTTAATCCACTTCTTCCTTTCTCCTTAGATGATCCATATTATAGTATATCAAATTGCCTTATTATTTTCTTTCGACCTTCTCTCCATCCATATAACCTAAGTTCTAACTTACTCATCCTAAATTTTTGCTCGCTCAACATTTCTTCCCCATTATGTTCGAATTAATGATGTATATTTCTTAACTAACCTTGATAAAAATTTTTGAATAGACGCTAATCAATTTTGTTATTTTTTATCTAAACCTTAGAATGCTTCCATTTAAGATATTTAATAGTAAAAGCAATTAATATTTTTGTTCAAAAATAACAGAATTCTATTTAATAAACGAAATTAATTTCATTCACATACTTTTTTCAGATACAAAAAAAAAAAAACTTGTATTTCATTTGATTTCCAAAAATTTTAAGTTAAACAATAATGCTAAAGATATAATAAAACAAATATTGTAAAGATTTGAATCAGTAATAAGAGTCTTATTGCTTAAGAGAATCTTCTTAGAATTCATAAATTGAAATGTTACCCTCAATTATTGTGTTTTATATTATTGATATCAGACTAAAGTTTTTTTATAAAACCAAAATTTTTTACAAATTTTTTTGTTATATTTATTAAACAGATATCACTATTAACTCTTTAAATGATTTAATCGTACTTCTTTTCTTGCTTAAAATTATTTATGTGGACAAGATAAATTTTATAAATAATTTCTTTAAAATAAATATTTCTATTTTATGCAGCATAATAACAATAACTTTTTAATTGAATAATTATAAGATTCCAATTTATACTTTTGAAATGACGATTATCAACATATGTACAGGGAGACATGAATAGAAGTGTAGTATAATCGTTATTATAAAAACTATTAAAATTTTGAAGAACGTAATTAAGCTATGATTATAAATCTAATTTCAACCTACAACATCTCTGTAAGTGATGATAGTTGAAGTCAATATTTTAAATCTTCACATTGTATTTTCTTTAAATAATCACATTTATGATAATGCAATTATATTAAAAGAGAATTAGATTAGTAACTATGAATATTTTATATAGTTTATTATCATTCTTGATCGAGCAAGCTATTTCATATTTTGCATAATCTTGTTCATCATTAAAAGGCAATATGGTGTCATAGACATAAGATGTCATAAAAGATGGTTCATATATTTGAACTGCACTCTAAATTGAAACACCAACTAGTTGTTCCCCTTCTAAATGCACAGATGTACCCTCGACTTTTCACAGATGTACAACATATAAATATATTGTGGTTTAAGTATTGCTTTTGCAGATGTAGATATAATATAATAATATTTTGTTATTAGAATTAATACTATAAGAATAAGTTATATTAAATTTTATTACGCAATCCTCTTCTGTTTGCTCTACTAATAAAAGTGATGATAATTTATTAGCTCTTGGGCATCTCAATGTAGATTAATCGAAGTATTGTGTGCCTGCACTGAGGCAAAATGTGAAGATTTACCCTTGTCTGTTAGTTGTGAATAATTATTACCCTGCATATTCTATAATGTGCACTTTCATTGGAACTGGAAATGGTTGTGCAACTAAGAGAGCATGTACTACTTATAAAAAGAAGGAAATATCCGCAGAGTTGAGAAGTGTTTGATGCTATAGCCACATTAATATGGGATTCTGCATGTTATTCATTCATTGAAGGTTGAGTCAGTAATGGTGCTGGATGTATGAAATCTAAATTCCCTTGTGATAAGACATAAGTTAAATATCTCTAAGACTTTTCTGTTCGGCCATGCATCTGGATTAACAATACTTGTGGTTAATATTATAATTGAACTGAACTGGTAAACAAGCGTAGCTGCATAAAGCGTTTCTAAGAATTGCACAATAGATGAAAACAAGTGCAATTCTTTAAAGATTTGTATCAATTAATTTAGATAAAATTAATGTACAAATGGTACAGATAGTGTTTGTGGTTCCGATCCGTGCTTCGGATATCATGGGATCCCAGAGAGTCTGT